CACTTCTCTCTTTCTTCCTTTCTAAACTCTTCCAGTTCATGCTGCAGATTTCACAAATGAATTGTATAGTACTGCCACGGGCATGGACACACATAAATTGGTCCGGCAGAATTACGGATTTTTGTTTTAACTTCAAACAGCTTACATTTTAGACTTCTGAGAGAGGCTGTCACTTTCAATTTAGTGAATGAAAGTCATATACTGAACAACAACTTTCTTATAATTAGGTATGACAGCTCCCACTGCAGTTAGAAACAGGTATTTTTCACTGAAAGAAAGCAAAGCCAGTTCTCTGTAGACCTTACTTTTTTGAAGAGCTAAGCTGTATTGCTCCATTCTTATTCACAATTGCCAGTTCCTGAAGTCCTTATTCATAAAAGCATGTTGGAGGGCTAAATTTAGCCCTGTTGTACATAAACAAATCCCATACAAAATTAAGTACAGTTTGGAGTCTGGAGGAGTTAAGGGCCAACATATTTTTTGAAAACAATGCTTACGTGCTTCTAATTTGGTTGGTGCTGCAGAGAATTGGCAACTTCTTGTGTTTGGGATAAAAGAAGACAGCAAAGGTCATGTGGCACCAGATTCAGCTAGAGATAGTGGAGGTGGTGTTTGCTCTGCTTTACTCTAAAATAACACTGGCAAGTCAGCTTTTCCACCAAAGCTAGTCATCAAGGAAGTCTTTGTATAAGCCCTTTTCTAGAATGTGATTTCTCTGAGCCACCTGAGCTTACAAACAAGAGACCTAAGAAGGTCCTATTTTTCTCCATTAACTGTAGAGGGAACCATGATGACTAGTCCACATGGAAGTATCTAAATTGTAGGCATCTAAATATGTTTAGGTGAAACTCAACCTGAGGGCTGTAGTCCCTTTGGGTGTCAGTCCAGAACAGGACCAAGATAATCCATGGAAGAGCCTACAGATAAAATGTATTTGAAAGGAAGGGTGGACACAGTTGCCATAGGACAGAGAAATAATTGAGAAATTCACATCTGAACTTGCCAAAATGTAGGCTGACACCAAAGTGTAAAGGCAGAGGCAGGAGACACTTACTGTCTTTTTGCTTTCCCCTTTGCCCAAGGGGGAATGGCAGCTGTGTGCAACAGGGCAGACTGGGAATAGAGGCTGGTGTCCTACAGCATCCCAGTTTCCCAGACAGCCTGGCAGAGCTGCAGGCTTTACAAGTTTCCCTGAAGGTCTCACCAGGACATCTGGTTTCACTGACACTGTTTTATTCGTGTTCCTGTATAGTTCATTCTCAGGACAGCATCAGGTCATCCTCTAATAATGTACTGGAAAGGCAGCAGGCCAATTTAGCTGATTCCTGGCATGTGCCATTTTGTGGTCAAGACATTTTTCTCATCTCATTTAGGGCCCACTTGTTGAATATGTGGCAAATACAAAGATCCCACAGGTTTACACCAATATCTTTTACTTCTCTCTTTACTAGCTCAGGGTCTTTTCCTGCTTGATGAACACATCTGAGTGAGTTTTCCTTTGTCCCCTTGGTGATTAGGGAAGGAGCCACTGATATAATTGAGCTCCACATAAGAGAAAGGATTACCTATATATTGCTTTTAAGACAGTATGCACATGTCAGCACATTGGCTCAGGAAGAAAAGGTGATGGTTAACAAACTATGATTTGGGAAGATCTATTTCACGTCCACCCAGAGGCCACATCAACAATTCTTAACACAGCGTTACTCATATGAGGCACAGTTTCAGTCTGTATATGTAACATGAAGCATTTTAAACTGCAGAGAACAAAATGGATGATACAAATCAGATGTTTCTGTGTCAGCCTTCCCTTACACAATGCTGTTAGGACTGGCCAAGCAGACTTGTGTTTGCCTGGTGTGTCATGAGAATGATGCATGTGTTTGTAGAGGATGCCCCACTATGACATGGCTGACATTACTTTCTATCTTTTAGTTATGTGCAGGTACGGGAGAGACCAGAAGTATGTGTTTTACATATGCTTGACTGGACTGTCTTATTTTTTCACCCTACTCAGTAAAGATGCTGGCTATAATTGCATGATATTACTCACCTGCCCAGCAGCAAAAATTCTCCAGCAAGTCCCAGGCGCCGCATAGCCATTAAGAGCCCCCTCACAGTCATGCCTTCACAGAAGCAGGCAACCACTCTTGCCTTGGGCAGGTGGCTCCGAAGCTTTCGCAGCAGCTTGTCAAAGCTCTGTTCACCAGCATTGCTATAGATCTTGTAGGAATGTGCAATGCAGATCCCTTCCTTGGCTGCCATATCTTTGAAAGCTTCCATTCCACTTTCACCATAGTTTCCTAAATGCAAACAGAAACACATATGCATGTATTAAAATGTGCAGAAGCTTTTCTTGTATTGGAAACAGCAAATATTTTAAAGAGTATGTAACATATCTGCACAGACATCAGTGTACCAGTCTTAATGAAAAACATTAACTTTTTAATTTATTATTAAAATTTATTTTCAAGTCAAGATCAGCATACTTTCCCAGCAACCTCACTTCTGTTTAGGAGCCTCCATCTCTGTTAAAATCAAAGGCTTGGTACCTCAATACCTTTGAGGATCCAGTCCCAAATATTTGCGACAATGTATGTATAAATTGCACGGCCTCTTCTGATTGCCTCAGGTTGACTAAATGTGGTCAAGTGCTCTGAGGTTTACTTCAGAAAATCTAAAAATATATGCTCAGAGTAAATATTTTAAATATAAGCAAAACAAAATGATGACTCATAACAACATGACTTTATTCATAATCCAATCTGAAAAGCAACAACTTCTTAATTACACTGAAAGGTAAAACTTATCGTATGAAGAAAGAATTTCTGGTGACCTGGGAGAATGGGTGGCAAAATTGAGGATTAACATTACAGAGATCACAGGATCACAGATGGACTAATTGTATTTCTGTGTTTGTGTTTTTGTTTTTTTTTTTTTTTTTTTTTTTTTTTTAAATTAAACATCTACCAACCCAACAGGATAAACTTCATATTTTCAATCTATTCTTCCCCTGTGGGCTAAATGGATAGTGCATATTAACAGATAGATGCATTTATTGTTATTTATTCTGTCTCACCATGGAAAATTCTTCATTGCCAGGCCTACGTAAAAGCCACAGCGCTTAAACAGTGGGTGTACTGATACCACTGACAATCATCCTGACCAGGATTGTCTTTCTGGTTCCCTGTGCTCCTCCATCTGGCTGTCTAAATCTGTTTCATATCTCATTTAAATAAGAAGGCCTCTGAGGCAGGAAATCTTTCTCCAAAATATTGCCTTAACCCCTCAGTAATATTCCACAGAAACACAGTCAGTAAATTAATAAGCCCAAGAGTGTTAAAATAATGCTGTTGTAAGGAACTGCTGATCCTTCTCTTATTTCTGTCAGTTTGCAAACGGAAGAATCTGTAAGGAAAATGCTTTCTTTCACCAACATAGTTACGAGTATTTGAGAGCACTGACAGTGAAAATGCATGTGAAGCAGTGAGAATCAGACAGCTGGATTTGGGCTGTCACCTGGTTTTCTGACCTTGGACATTGGAGCCACCAAGCATCCAGCTTGCCCACCTAGGGATCATCCCTCTCGCTCTGGTGCTAGAGTTTAGAGGCTGTATTAGGCTCAGCCCTGTACATGAACATGAAAAACACTGCCTCCAGTTTGAAGATCTTACCATCTGAATAGCCAAAAGAGGCAAAGAACAGAAGAGAGGAAATACCTTTACCTTCATTTCTCACTAGGAATGAATCACTGAGACCTTGAAATTTCCAAATGGTACCCAATCAGAACAGCAACCTGAATGCAGATCTCCTTAGCTAATAGGGCTTTCATTTTCCTCCCTGCTGTGATCAGCCCTGATGGAAAAGCCATTACTATACAAATTGTGCCTGGACAAAATGTCATAGGATTTTTAAACTCCGTTGTCGCAGTGCTTCCTGGGAGTTGTAAATCAGGTGCCCAGTGCTTCCCCATGTGTCAGGCTCCTAGGGCAAACTATGTTTCCTGTGATACATGAGCATCAAGTGATTCCCATGAGATGCTGGAACAGTTCAGCTAGAGGTCAAAAATGCAGTGCCTCATGAAAGATGTATTATAGCCTCAGAAGTCAGTCTGAAGGAAAAATAGGGGTCAGTCACATACAACTCCCACTGGGTCCCAAGGCCATCTAAAATATAATTAAGCTGTTTGACAGGAAATACACTACTTTGTTTAAAATTATTCTCATTTTGGTCAATCTGGATCAACACTAAATGTTCTGTATTATTTTTCCTAACAGAAAATAAAAAGGAAAAAAAATATATCAAACTTGTTCATAGAAGATGCAAGTTCGAGGAAAAGCTGTTTCATAGTATATCTCAAAGAGATTGAAATTCTGAAGACTTCATTTTCTGTCAGAAAACTGTCAATGGAAAATTCACGGCCAGGTCTAATTGACTTACAAAACCGGATCTCTTCGATGTTCCTGCACTCTTTGTTTGAAAGTGTTATAAACGTACAAACCGCTACCCTGAGGCTTGCTATAAAGCTGAGAATAGCTTTAATTACAGTACTGAAAAATAGTAGGTCTTGCAATGAACACGAAGTGCATTAACTCTTTTCCAGTCAAATAAAGGTTGCTCTGGCACAAATGCCATGGTCTCATCATGAATCAAGACAGGGAGATTTTGTGAAACCATACAGAAAGCAGTGCGTCATCCAAAATGAGAGGAAACATCTTAAACTACTGAGGCCACTTAGCAAAGTGTTATGTTCTTAACAATTGGAAGAAAAACATCCTGGCAGTCCAAATCTGAGAGTGACTGAGTTCTCCAACTGGGAAAACTATAGCTGTATGGCATGAGCTCAAGGGAGATTTGATGAAAACAGAAAGCAGCTTTGCTTCAAGACGTTCGTACAAATACACCAGTGGAGCTCTTGTCATGATCATTGCTGATTAAACTCTACTTAATTAATTATTCATAGTGAATTCCCCTGTTGTGCAAGAGGTTTGATGAGGTATGTATATTTAATTTGAGCTACACTGTGGGGATAATGAACACTCCTTGATGGAAAAATAAATTCTTTTCTGCTAAACTCCTTTGCACTACATATTAGGATGAATTTCCCCTGAGCTATCTCTCTTTCTCTGGAAAACCGGTACGTACATGGATGAAGGGAACTGGCGCAATGGGAGTGGGAAACTGGGTAGGTTACATTATACCATCTCCTTGTAGAGAAGATGTCAGGTTCACAGTGGAAGAGCATCTCCATGCTTTCTGTACGGAATTGGGCTTCTCATGGACACTTGGTTCCTGAACTGTGGCATTTCCATAGCAGTACTACTAAAACTGCCATAGCAAAAGCAAGTTTCCTCTGACAGGGCAGTTTCCACTCTTCAGCCAGGTCTGTGATACAAGAAGGGTACAGGCTTGCACACATGGATGGACAAGGTAAGGACTTCTGCAGCCTGACTCTGAGGAGGAGTTCGTAGTTTCATTTCCAAGTGAAAGTTAATTCAGAAGCCCTATGCTGGAACCAAAACGACGTCTTTCGTGAGTCCCCTGTGATGGAATCTGCCTACGTCCTGGCAATCTATCCATGTAGCTATTTTGTTTCCACTTCTAAATTTAAAGAAATATCCTAAGGAAGAGTTAAACAGAAGGGAGGAATTGATTTACTTCTGCTTGGCTAGTTCCAGTTCAGCAGAAAAGACTCAGCAAACAACACAAGCTGGAAGTGTGGTCAAGTCAGCTCCTCCTCCCCCACCAGACTCCATTTCTATTTCAGTGTTTGGAAACCAGCACCTCTATATTGTGACTGGTTCTGCTGGAATTTTTCACTGGTTCATCTCCTCTTGAAAGTTTGTCTGTCGGTGGTGTAATCGGAGCTGCTGGCTGTTGATGGCTTTTGTAAATATGTCCTGTACTCATGGCAACAACTGGCAGCTGGGATCTTTTAAAATGCCAGCCTGAATCCTGCATGTTGCCTACCTGAATGTCTGGCCCAAAGCCCAGTTCAAAAGCTACTCCCATATGTCTCTGCATGTTTAAAAAAAATTGATTACATCATCATGCAAAAGACTTATCCCTGCTTCAGAGTTGGAATTTTGTTCAAAACTCAAACATATGCATCCCCACCTACAGTCTAACTATAACAATCTGTTAGTTCCACTTCCAATGAATCAGTACTAGAAACTATTAAGAAGCTTAAAAAGAACAGATTGTGCTTTTTTCCAGATGAGGCTTAATATAGTACAGTACATAATAATACTTCAATCTGATAGAAAAGGGTCAGGAAAACTGCAAGCTGCTCTTGCTGCTCCTCCTGCCCAGCAATTGAGCGAATTAAACCATTAACATCTTATCTGCATTACACAGCAAAACAACAAGGTTTTTAATCTTAAAATAATAAGGAAAATTCACTGACATCTGCCCTATCCCACTAAAGGTTATCAATATGAGATAAAAAGTCCCTGAAGCCAAATGGAATAATGAACTACATTTTCTCCTGCTGAGGGATTTTTGGGGTGTCACACATTTCTTTTTGAGTACACGAGGTTTTCTATCATTAGCTGCACATGCAAATTGTTATCAGGTAATAGTTCAGTTTATAAGAGAGTTTCAGTGAACACTGATGAGAATCAACCTTTAGGAGAGCTTTAGGATTTAAAATTTCTTCAGGCAGGATGCAGTGAGGATTCATAAAGTAAGAGGAGAGGAGGCTCAAGTGAAATAAAGAAATGCATTTTGTCATGCTTCTAGCTGGTAATAATCCTACCTATCACAAAACATATTTATTTAAACAGAAGTGCCACCATCATTTTTATAGACAAGGAAGAGCAAAACACAGAATAATATTCTATGCTGTATCTGAGCCACATAAAGAAGCCAAGTCAGGTTAAAATTTTCAGTAGATATTTTGCAAGCAATACAGGGAATACAGTGCTTCATTTTTTACTGGCTTTCATTGGCATCAATAGGAGGAACTTTGCCAGAAATACCTAAAAAAATTTATTAGGTATAATTTTGAAAATGCATGTGGAAGTAATGGAAGATATTTATGAGAGGCAACGTGTTGGTTGATTACCAGGATGATCTTCCTGAAAGGCAAAGATATGGCGGTGTAGAATAGTTTCCCAAATGGAAACGTTAGAAGCCTCTTTGAATGTTACAATTCAAATTTATCATGATAAAACACCAATAGTACTTACTACTAGTAGTACCTACCTAGATATTGTCCACATTTGACTACTGTCACTGTATGAGGCTCGTAAAGCTTCATCACTACTAAGAATAGGGACATAATACCAAATCTCTTGAGCAG